AAAAAATTAATTTGTTAAAATTGAAGATAAACGACGGATAAACAGAGCATAATTAGGCACAATTTTGGTGATACATGAAAACACCCTGACTATCTTTAAAATATAAAAACTACACTCCTCAATTCAAGTTTATAATTTGAGATTATCATGCATTTCTCCTATTTTGAAGCCTAAATTTTAAGCTTCTTTTGAGAATGCGCTGTAGCTTACGTTCTTTTTATCTTCTTATTATTTTAAAAATATATAAAAGATAATTTTTTATACAATTAAAAACCCGAACACACCTACCACCACATTTATAGTCTAAGAGTCTCAATCAAAACATTGTAACAGGGAGACTTTTAGATCTCACTTTGTGCAATCATACGCCGATTTTATGTTGGTTCCTCGTGATTATTAACTGTGACACCGTACTATCAAGGAAGAACGATGCTACTTGATGAATCCTTGCCTTTAATATTAAAACAATGATTTCTCAGGTTTCTCTGAATTCATTCACAACTGGGAAACATCAACTCCTGGTGATCCCAGCCAGGGCTCTGGACTTGCATCTTAACAGTAGAGGGATTTACAACACCCTACAATTAGGTAACTATCTACATTCTAGAGGTGAAATTGAATTAATAATTAGAGTGATCAACCATCAAAAAATAATAATTGATAATAACAAAGGTGACCCGAAGGTGGTTCACCTTCATTCAAATTTGTCTATGGCTTTAAGCAAGGTTTCTAGCTGTTAGCTTCATTCTGAGTCAGGGAAGAGACCTTAGCTTCGACAGGTTCTATTTCCATATTGCTGACCTCATTGCTTCCATCTGTTGGTTGCTTTGGACTTCCACTAGGTTCTACACACAGGAGCTCAGTTCTACCTTCATCATTCTGTGTACTGGCAGAATCAACAATGGGGACTTCAGTAGGTTCAGCTTGTAAAGCGTTTTCAGAGTTGTCAATGAGCTGTGTGTTATTGGAGTCAACAGATTTCAACGAAGGATCCTCTGACTGGAGCTTGGTTTGACGTTGATCATTCTGTTCATTAGCAGATTCAACAAGGCTGACTTCCATAGTTTCTATATTGCAGATCTGAACAAAATCACCCTCAGACCTCTCAACTTCTGGCGAGAGATGTTTCCCACCATGTTTGTTGTCAACAGGCTCTGTATTGTTGGGGTCATCAGACTTCAGCAAAGGATCTTCTGACTGCAGCTCAGTTCTACATTGATCATTTGGTGTATTGCCCGATTCAACAGTGATGACTTCCATGGATTCTGCTTCCAAGGGTTCTACATTGCAGGCCTGAACTGAATCACCCTTGGATTTCTCATCTTCTGGTGAGAGATGTTGCCCAACATGCTTGTCAAAAAGCTCCATATCACCAGATGTTAAAACAGGATCGTCTGACAGGAGCTCAGTTCTACCTCGATCATTTGGTGTATTGCCAGATTCAACAGTGATGGTAGGTTCTGTTTCTGAGGGTTTTTCTACATTGCAGGCTTGAACTGAATCACCCTTGGATTTCTCATCTTCTGGTGAGAGAAGTTGCCCAACATGCTTGTCAGCAA